TTCTTTGTGAACCACACGTGTCACGAGAGTTTCTCTGTCGAACGGGGCAAATCTCACAACGCACACATGGAGACGTCCATCAAGATTCCATCGGCAAGATCCAAATACACCAAAAACAGGGTGGATTTATAATCGAGCAACAAGGAAACACAAGATTACAAATGTGATTGGTTACAGATCAATTGTAAAAAGACAGTTTAAGATAGACCCGGGTTGCTACGCTGTACCCACTATAGGTACCTGCTAAATGTCAAACCAAATATTTGTTAGTATTGAAATGGCTTGACTTCTTCCACACCATCCACATGAGACACGTGGCCACATAGGCCCACACTGTCCGGACCACGCTCAGGGACAAATTACTACAACATGCAAGTTATCTGTTCAGAACAAAAAGCTGGAAATTGCTGTTCTCACCATGTCAGCAACAGCAGGGTCCTTAGAAAGGAACCGTTTCTTCCCAGAAATTTGCCCACAGAATATTCTGCTTCCCTTGATAGCCCTCCAACATCTGAGATCAACTGATCTCAGGGCTGTTTGGCTTTTCCACACTTTTCTCCCCCCGAGCTTGAAGGTTTGTGAAGTTCTACTTGGAAAATCACATGGGCCAACTCACAACGAAATCTACATTCTGCCTTTTCAAGCTCATAAATAAGACAACAGTGTGTAAAAAGCTGTTAAGTTCTCCTCTAATCTATTCGAGCAAAGAAAATAGGTGAAAGTAACAGTCCTCAAGCTGTTTCTTCAGCGCACCAGCACAACAGAGGTTGTAGCGTGTATTAAAATGTGTCACGTCCATCAGCTTTGGGGAAATTGGAGCTCCATTTTAAGGGTTAGAGGAGAGAATTCAAGATGGCAAGCTTCTGGATTCCTTCTAGATATCTCCTGGAAACATTTTGCACCATACAAAACCCTGCCCTCTTCAGAAAACAAAATCACTGTTGGTCATTTTAATAAAAGAAGGCAAATTTACACATTGTGAGAAATGTGAGGGTTGTCTCAGTAGGTGGTGCTGCTGAATGGGCCTCCCCTGAGCTCAGGAGCTAAGCAAGGTTAGCCCTGGTAAATATTTGGATGGGAGACCATCATAAAAGTCAGGATTGTAGAAGAAGGAAGGGGGAAAGTGTGCAATAACAGAATTCTATATGGTTTCCAAGAAATCTAGCTAGACATGTCTATAAAGACATTGGACTTAATTCCAAAGAGACTTTTATCTTTGCTCCTTCCAAAATGAATATATAAATAGAAACAAAAAACTTAACTTTTTCTATATCCTCAGCAAATTTAAGGCACCCTTCCCATTTATTTTAAAAATAAATTATCGGGTTGGGATGGAGGCTGTTCGTCCTTGAAAGTTGCAATATTATCCCTGCAACTGCAAATGAAATGAGGTGGGGTGGAAACTGAGGAATCACAGCCTTGTCCCAAACCATTAAAACTTCCCCACTATTAAGAATAAATAAATGCTCTGACCCTAATCTGAAGCTCTCCTATTCTATATATTTCTACAGATAAATGGTATTATTAACGCCACAGTGTGGAATCTGTTTCTCCTAAAGAAGCAGAACAACACAGAAGAAAGACTGATGTGTCTTTTTATATTGAATTATCAGCAAGGTGGATTCACTGTAGATCACTGCCCTCTAATGGCTAAGATAACCTTTTTTTCGCAAAAATTAGTTTCAAGTAAAAATTATTTGCTACCTATGGTTAAAAACGATAGCTTTTCTCCAGAGTTCCAAATGCAAGTTCATCTCTCCAGGCCTGGGGGTGCTGAGTTCTCCAAATCGAAGCTGCCTCACTGTGTTGGGACTCCAACTTCCATTTGCCTAAACATGTTGGCTGGGAATGATAGGGTCTGTAGTCCAGGCCCCAGGAAGGGGAATCAGAAGAGATGCTCTGTTCTTCAGAGACAGGGGTTCAAGTATGGATCAAGACAGCTTCCTGAAGGTTAAGGCAGGTGTGGCCACAGAATCCACATTTGATCCACATTTGATCTACAAGTAGGTTCACCCTATTGATTGACTCATTGATGGCAAGCTAGGTTGTCAGTGTTTGACTGAAAAAAAGAAACAGTCTGGAATAGAGGCAGGTTCTGGTGGACTGTGGATGCGAAGCCACAGAAAATGCTTTGGTCATCTCGATTGTAGGCATGAAAAAAAATTATCCCCATATCATTATCATCATCTTCATCGTCATCATCCCCCCATCTTGCATCGACTTTGCCCACAATGGCTGGGAGTTGATGCCAAGTCAACCCTGTGATGGGGTTGGGAATGTGAGATTCATAATTAAGCATAGCTAGGTGAGACTTAAAAATCAAGCATTGGGATCAATCATTGCTAGGGCTACTGTAAAGCTTTGCAGAGCTGCAAAAATGCGGGCGAGCGCTGAACGCCACCAGAGAGATAGAAAGCGCTGCCTCTTTGCTGCCCTCTAGTGGTCGAGGCCTTTGCAACTGACATCGCCTCGTTTCCTCCGCTTCTGCGAGCCCCACTCCGCTCTGCATACATTTCCCACCATGCTTTGAGGCCGGAGGAGGAAGAGAGGGGGAGCGCCGGCCCGATAAGAACTACATTTCCCAGAGAGCCATTGGTTCCAGGCCGGAAGTGAGTCTTGTAGACTTGATTTTGGATTTCTTTCGGTCTAAATTCTGCGTTTCCAGCAAGAAGACGGTGGGGAGATGTTGCAAATTAGTGCGTGGGGCGTGAGTCTGTCGTTCCGGGGGACCCACAGATTTTCTACGCGATTAAGAGGTAACCGGGTCTGCTTCTCTTGCAATCTGATAAACCGAGAAAGCAAATTTATTCCCAGGCCACGTGACCGCACGATTGGCGTTGCTAATTTCGCAGAATTGTGCCTGCCGATATTCCCCCCGTCTGTTGCACCAAAGCCAGACCTGTTTTGAAAGCAGAGGTAGCTTTAAAGGCACCAGAGAGATGCATGCTGCACGTGTATTGAAAATGCAACGAAGCAAAATCGGGATGCAGACTAAAGCAAACGTTATCTGAGCAGGCTGGAAAAATACAGCGGTAGCAATCCACCAGCGGCAAGGCACAAAAAAAAAAAACACGGTTTTTTTCATGAACAATATTTCGTTAATATCGAATGGGTTGAGTATCGTTATTTTTACTTGACTCAGTCAATGTTCTACGAATGCATCAGGTTTCATTTTTAATACAGTAAATATCGATCAATATAACTCAGGGAAACAAAAGCTCTTTTGGGGTCCTCCATTAGTTTTAAAAATGGGAAGGGGTCCTGAGAGCACAACGTTTAAGAAACCCTGATCTAGAAGAAGAGACACCTGTATGTTGGTGGAGTTCGCATGTCATGTTACTCCCTCCCTCAAGTGGCTTCTTTGATTTTGGCTCAGAAGGTCATAGGAACTCTCTAGTGTGGCCTTCTCCAACTTGCACTTCAGATCCCATAATTCCCAGCTAGCCTGCTTGTTGGTCTTGCTGGCTGGGGATCATGGGCAATGGAAATCCGACACAGATGCAGAGTCCCGGCTTGGGAAAAGCTACTGTAATGGTTGGATTAGGAGTGAGAACTTCTAAAAACACACACAAAGGTTCCCTTGAATCGTGTTGAATTCATGGACAGAAACTCTCCATGAAGAAATCATTTGCTGCTGCTTTCTTTCAGGAGAAGAGGACTTTTTGACTTTGCATCTAGCCTAGAGTTTTGGATTTTCCGGTGGTCTCCCATTCAAGTGCCAGTCAGTCCAACCCAGCTTAGTCTTCTGAGATCAACCAAGATCAACCAAACGTCTCCACCACGTCACAAAGCTCAGTAGCAAACTCTGAGTCTCAGAGAAGACACAGCTCCTTTCCAGAACACCGCTTCAGAAACTTCTTTGAAACAATCCTAATGTTGGATATTTGTTTTTTTTTTTTTTTAAATGGGGAGAATGGTTTAGGGAGTATGTTTAGAGGCTTCCCATATACAGAGATTTAAGTTGCAAAACTGAGGCATGTGCTCACCTGTAAGGAAGTCCTGTAAATGCTGCAGGATTTTCTTCCAAGGAAAATGCATGTGACTCTTCCTCATTTACCTTAGAACAGTGTTTCTCAACCTCAGCAACTTTAAGATGTGTGGACTTCAACTCCCAGAATTTCCACCACCACAAACCGGGCGGGGGAGTTTGGGGGTTTGAGTCTAACCCCCTCTAAATATATTGGGGTT